GCGAGGAGCAAATGTCCAAACGTTGTGTACTTGTGTTGTATTTTAGCTCTCTCACATTTGACAAACATATTTATTATTTTAATTATTTGTAAAAATAAGAAAGCCAATTTTGAATTTTCTTATACTTGTTTGATTCCAGGGGGGAGGCAAATGCCCCTTCTTGCTCCCCCTGCGGACGCCCATGTGTATATTTAATCGTGAAGAAAGATAAATCACAAAAGTTTTCCTTAATTTATTTTTCTATATCCTTTACATATTTTCTTGATCTTGTAATTGTGTATCAGTCTGGTGAAAAGATGTACTTGCGTTATTTTCTTCAGCTACTGATTGATTTATATTTATGTTATTTTTCTCAGTATTTCCTTCAGGTTTTTCCTTTATGCCATGTTTAAGCAAGTGACTCACTAAAAAATTTACTTTAAACATGTTATATATATTAATGCTGCATTTATTGCATTTAATCATATAATCTGATGTACTCAATTCGGAATGTTCTGATACCCACATACGTTCTATTTCTTTTCGTATTTCTTCTATTATTCGCGGATGTGTACATATCAGGTGTCTTTCTAAAATATTTTCATTATATCCACTCAAAAGAACTTTATCACAAAGCTTACATCTTGCAGAGTATCTTTCTTTAGCTGTGAAATATCGCCATACCAAGTTGCTTCGGTCAACGTCTCCATCACGAAATATTTCATGCTTACGGCACAAATGCACTTTTGTGCGTAAATAATCACTACAAACATAATGACAAATACTGCATTCTATCTTTCGTTTCACTCTAGTACAATATTTCTGTATCCAATTTTCTTTAATTTTCGTCTGCGCTGCCGTTATGTCCTCACAGTATCATAGAGCGTATATTATTAAATAAGATGTAACGACTGTGCCAAGAAACGTTCGGTAAAGGTCGGTGAATAATGCATGAATCTTTGTTAGAATGTTATTGTTGATACATACATTGGGCATTATGGCTGTGTTTCGGTATACACTACAAGTAATGAAAATTCATAAGTTCACGTTACATATACTATAGATTTTCACTGATAGTGTACATCGGTCTATGTATGCCTAACATAAAGTACAGTGGCAATCAATGTGTTAATCAAATTTGATCAAAGTCATCATTAATCTTTTTCAAGTGAGAAAAAATTGGTTTTGACAATACATGGCTCCTCTAGAGCTTTCTCTAAAATATATTTTCGAATATAAAAGAGGAAAAAGAAAATTTTACAGAAACACAGTGTTTACGAATATAATTGATTTATTACGCTCATAACTTTCTGCTCTACACTATTAGCTCTACGCTAAAGTCGATAAAAGTTAGCTAACGCTTTGGACTACCCGGTATACAAAGTTGGTTTCATTCCACGCCGAAACTCGTCGATGATAATTAATTACAGTGTATTTCGACTATATACAGTTTTGCTAAGATAAAAAAAATAAAATATTGTTTCCGTGTCGCTTTTCGCAAAAGTAGCTTCTATTGTTTTGCAAAATTTTTTGTAATAATTTGGTAAAGATGAAAGTAAGAGAAAGAAATAAGTATGAAGGGACAAAGAGAAGAAAGTCGAACAAAGAAACAGAGTAAAAAAGGGAATAATATAAAAGTCAGTTAAAAATTGTGGCTCGTTATTGAAAGCCATGCCTTGCTTAACGTTAATAATCGTGTCTTTCTATGTACACTTTTTAAACGCTTCACTAAAACTAAAATATATATATATACGTTATACGCTACTTATACATACATATGTTGTATACATAATATATAAAAGGGTGTACTTGTCGTCGAAGACAACACGGGAAAATGCTCCCTTCTAATTCTACATGACGAAAATGTAAGAGTCTGGTAAACGCGGCGAGCTGTGAATCCAAGGATCTGTATAAAACGGGAGATCTACAATGAGATCAGAGATCTATGACAGAAATCTAGAAATAGAACAATATATTTGTGAAGCCGCGATTCATGAGTGCAAGCGCAATTCGTGGATTCCGAATTCATTGCATTCAGGGCGAATGTAATGAATTAATATCTATGTATATCCGGATCCGTGGAAATTTATGAATCTGAGAAATTTAGAGCGATCGTGGATTTATGGATCAAAAGATTCGTGGAATTGTCAACTCATTGCTGAACTGAAGGAGCAACGTATCTAGAAATCCGTTTAGACGTGTAATCTCCGGAATTCGATCGAAAAGATCGAAAAGATTTCAAAGATATCTTAAAAAGCAAGAGTTTGAAAAACCGCAGATCTATATGATTCGTCAAATTTGATTCGACAATTCATTGAATTCGCGAATCTTCGTTAATGCGAAGAGCCGCGAGAAGATACAGAACACAGATATACGAATATAAGGTCCGGCAGAGACACGGATCTGTGGATTCAAAGGATCCGCGAGTCCATATACATATTTATATATGTGTACACATACATATACATATAATCGATCGATTGCGTTAAACTGGGATGTACATACATGCTATGCCGCGAGCCTGCTCATCGGCCGAAATACTGCACGGTGTTTCGAAACATTGCAAGACACATCTCGCCATCTGCTACTACAAACTGCTGAAATCCTCATGAATTCAAGCATATCGGTTTTGTTTTATAAAGTATACATATCTTTTGATCAATACTCTATCTTCTGCGATTATTCGAGTGATCGTACGTAAGCCTCTCAATGAAGTACATATAAAGTTCGTAAGGCAGCATCCATATAGATTATTAAGAAATGCCGATAATAATTATATTAATTATGAAATTACAATACAATCAATGATGCTGAATACATATTATCAATCACGGTGTGTTACATCAATTTTGTTCGATAATAATTCAACGTATCTCACACATGAGGGGGCGAGCCTATGGAACGATATATCATTCTCGATTCACAATAATGTACGCGAACCTACACACTGACATATAAGATTCAGAATTAAATTACGTCCCAAGTTTCAATTTATAGGCGTTATAAATATGAGTTTTTGCTTTTTTTTGTGCTTCACCCTGCGCGACACAAGATCGTCATTTGCACGACTCGCATTTTGCTCTCCTTTCGGATTATCTACGCCCTACGGGATTTCGCGTGAAATCGTGAAGCACACATACACGTGAGATCCATGTTCCCGGGCGTCATGGCTGCGCACTTGTGCTGCGTACTTGTGATCCACGTGTGAGATTTCCGTACGAATGAGCGCGAAATCGCCGCCGCTCCGCGTCGGCGAACAGTCGCTACTAGGAGACACTCGAGTCAGAGTCTGACTGAAAAAATTCACTATAAAAATAAAATAATGATCAGATGTGAATGACTTGTTAAAAAGTGATTATACAGATCAATGACTTAAATTTTAAAATTATGCTAATTTAAGGAAATTTAAAAACTAAAACGTATACATTTTATTTGGAAATGCGTAAGAACATGGAATTCTGCGCGCAAGGATAATCTAACTTCTACGTTATATCTTGTCCATAAAAAGGATTCATAAAAAATTTTGTAAACTCTAAATCTATCAATTTTTAGGGGCATTGCAATAATGGAAAAAATATAATTTTGCTTAAAAATATATTCTCTGGAAACTATAATTTTTGAAAAAAATGTTTTATATAAAAGTTGTAGAAGTTTAAGTGGCGCATTTTATAGTAATGTTAATATAATCTTGAATGGCATTGTTGAGATAAAAATCACTGAAATCTTTAAATAAAAACCTCTATATTTTTAATATTTTATTTAATTTTTACATAATCTTGCAACTGATTTCAAAAGTTTTTCAAAACAGTTTAATAGAGTTTCTTTTCATAAAGTACTTTCCGAATTATGTGGCTTGCAAGATGCAATAAGTACTGCCGACATTAGCGTTATCTAAGGTGTATCACGTGAAGATTGCTCGATCTCTCAAATTTACATGTGTGTGTGTGTGTGTGTGTTTGTGTGTGTGTGTGTGTGTGTGTTGTGTGTGTGTGTGTGTGTGTGTGTGTGTGTGTGTGTGTGTGTGTGTGT